TTCCCTTCCCCAAGGTCGTGGACCTGTGACAGAGCTCAATCGAGCTGGCTGATAAACAAACATCTCTTCCCAGGACTATGACTGGGGGTGTGTGGGGGGCTCTGGACTGTGCTGTGCTACGACCTTCCCTCAAACTCAATGCCTCCACTGGCCTCCCTCGCCTCCCCTGATGCAGCGGTGCTGGGACCCCACCCCCTACCCACTCCACACGCATATGTATTATGTCTATTTATGTTGATTTTTTTTATGCCTCAAACCGTGCCCTGTCTAGGACACAGTGTGAGAGATTGTTTTATACCTCTCCTTATGTTTCTTCCCTTTTTCTTATCTAAGCAATAAGGGCAGCTCTTCTTAGAAGCTGCAGCCCCTGTACACTTCCATCCATCTTTCGAACGTCTGTACGGAACATCATTTTGTTGTATTTCACTGTGCGAGGATAATAAAAGCATTCTGATCTTTATGTAAGCACTTTGCCACCACCTGTGCAGCAAAGTAATTTTACAGTTTGTCAGTGTTTGAATTTTTTTTTAACATAATTAATTGTACTGAGACATGTTGTAATTCAGTTTTAAAGCTCTCCTTCAGTAATAGCAGCATCAGTAAATAGCTTGCATACCTGAGGCTGGAAAATGTGTTTAATTGCTTAATTGCTGTTTTGCCAAATATACCTAATGCAGCTAATTTGCATCATATTTAAATTCATATTTAATGTATGGGTCATTTTAATCTAACAACCCCCACTTTAACATATTTAGTCTATTTATATAAAAAAAAAAAATACCATGCAGTAAGTGGCTAAAACATAAACCATCAGTTGGTTAGATTGTTTACAAAAAGTCTGTTCAATTAAGTTAAGTGTCAAAACAAAAAAATATTTTGGAGTTATCACACATATCAGAAGTAGAAAAGGGGTAAAATGGGTAAAAATAAAAACTGGGTATTTTTCTTGTATATCAATACAGACTTTTGGGGGGATGATTTAGTGGGGTGCTGAACCCAACATTTTGGCTTATTTACTAGTTACTAATGTGCACGCATAAAACACCATAACATGCCCTTAAATAGTTTCTTAGCCATGTCCTTTACAACTGCATTTTTAATGACTGGTATATTCAAACATCTAAAAAAAGTTAAATCTGGTCCTCTGGACATTCAAAAAAAAAATAATAATAAAATTGTAGAAACGTTTCGTCTTTCATCCGAAAGACTTCCTCAGGATGCATCAGGATATATTCAAACATATTTATAAATTGGTTTTATTGGTGTTTTATGTTGTGAGCACGACCAACGGTGTTGGCAGGTGTCTGAATGACTGCAGAGCAGCTGAAACTGAATTAAACTGTCTCAGACTGTGCAACAAACCGGACGAAGACCTGAAACTATCTATAAAGCGTATTTATAACTATATATACAACTATGAAGCGTAGCAAAATACTGACTTTGAGCATGCACATAGTAACTGTAAAACGGTCATTAGAGACAGACCCCGGCAGTCCTTGGAGACCATCAAATCCAGATGGACCAACTGCACTGGCTTCTGACACAGCAGCCATTCATCAAAGTAATGAGCCCATTTTGGACCAACAGTGTTCCTGACATCAGGAAGTTCTGTTTCCAGTTGAACACAAGTGGGATGACACAACTCAGATTTGGTTCTCTATGGCAGCACAGTGACCTTGGAGCTAAGACTTAATATTTTGGTTATAGTTTATTAAATCAAAACTATTTGTTAAGAACAGACTGGGGGGGGGGGGGGGGGGGCAAACATATTGCTGTGTAACAAGACAGACATGTTACATTTTTAATATTTCTTTTGTCAATGTATGTTTTTATAGATTGTGTATTTTATAATTATTGTATATACATTTGAAATGTTATATTAAGAATGTTTCATTTTCAGCTCTTATCATTACACACCTCAGTTATGTGCATTTGTTTAGCTTAGCAAAAGAGATAGCACTGAGGTAACGTTAAAACTACTTAGATTAATTTATTCTAATTTGTATATGTAAGACTAATGACTAGAAAGGTGTTTACTAATGTGTCTCTTTATGATTTGTTAAAGTTAAAAACCTGCTTGAAATTGTTTAGCTGATTTTCTTTAAAGTGAGTAGTCACGTCCAGGAGTTGTCTGCTCAGTTAGGATGAGCAGATCTAACAAAGTCTTCTGTCTTGAACCAGAAACCTCCATGTCCTGGGACTTTGAGGGCCAACAACCTTCTCCATCAGAGCCCTCTGAACAAACCATCAACTATAAATGACCTTTAAACTTCCACACAGATAAGACAGTTTTCCTACTGTCTGACAGGCCCTAAAAGCCTCACAGGCAAATTGAACCAGTGTTAGAAAAATTATCTCATTCTCTAGTGTTGTTATGAACAACAACCAAACTTACAACATATCAGAACAATAACCCAGTTTTACTTGAAAGGAGTCCATAAATAGACAGCGCACAAAACAATGTTAGCAAATGAACTGGAAACATTTCTGTTGTCTATAGCATCTCGCAACATGAACATTCAGTGGGTGTTGGGCCTCCCACACCCTGCTTCAGCCTTCAGCCGCGAAGACAGAGCCAGGGAGGCGCCGTCAGCAGCAATCTGTTCCCGTGTCAGCCTTATCCCTTGCAGGCCCAAGATGTAGGAGCAGGGTGATAAGAGCAGCCGACCAATTACAGTGCAGGAGGTTAAAAGTTGAAACAAACACGTTAAAAACATTCATAACATAGGGTTTTAATTCTCTCCCAACAACCAGCAATCAGTTGCATCAGAAATTCACATTTGTCAGATTAGAAGGTCCAACTACTTTCCAAGGAAAAATGATGTAAGAAGGAGAAAGCTATTATCTAATGTTAATGATAATTTTTTATTGTCTGAATATTTATGAAGCATTCACTCTACTGTGATTCATTTTGATTCTGTATGATTTTCGGTGCAATACTTGTCCAGCAGTTCTCAAGCTATTTCAGCAAATCATAGATCGAAACATTCAGCTCTTTAAGGACAATTCTGCTTTTGGGATTGGTGCAACTTTAGCTTTTTGAAATATTTAGCCTTTTCTGCCATTTTTTTCTCATAGAAAATGAATTGAGCTCATTTTACGTCATTCCATATTTTTACATCTGTTTACAACCTTTTACTGCTCCTTTCACATTTTGTTCTGCTTCAGCTTCTTTCAGCTTCCTTGTGCAATTTTTTTTTTAAATCAGCTACTTTCAGCTGTTTTCAGTTATTTTTTCAGCTGTTTTGTGCTCCTTTCAGATTATTTCTGCTATCTACATTTTTACGCTTCTACCTTCTTTCTGCTAATTTCACTTTGTTATGCTCCTTTCAGCTTATTTCTGCAAGTTTCAGCTTCTCCTGCAATTTCAGCTACTATTTAGCTGTTTATGCTAATTTTAGCTTTTTTACCTAACTACCCACTTTTGGAGCTTTTTTCAGCTCTTTCCACTTCCTTCATGGTACTTTAAGCTTCTTTCTGCATTTTCAGCTATTTTTTTTTTGCCAATGTCACTTTTTTATTTTAATTAATTTCCTAATTTATGTGCTAATTTCTCCAAATTTAACCCTAATTCAGCAAATATGTGTTCTTTCTCTTTTCTTCTGCTAATTTAGGTTTGTTCTTCCATTTCATCTATATTTCAGCATTTGTTTTTCGCTAATTTCAATTACTATTTAGCTTTTTTTTAATGCTAATTTTAGCTTTTTCACCCAATTCCCCACTTTTGGAGCTTTTTTCAGCTCTTTCTACTTCCTTCTGATAATTTAAGCTTCTTTTTGCATGTTCAGCTATTTTTCAGCTTTTTTTTTGCTAATATCCCTTTTTTAGCTAATTTACTAATGTATGTGCTAATTTCTGCTTATTTAACTCTAGTTCAGTAAATACATCTTATTTCTGTTATTTTCTACTAATTTAAGCTTGTTCCTCCATTCCAGCATGTTTTTAGCTAGTTTCAGCTGTTTTTCAGCAAGTTCTTCAACAATAAGCATTCACACTGCAATTTCACAGGAAATGCAATTTCTCTAGTTAGTCTTTAAATGACTTATTTCTCTACAGTAGATATATAACATATCATATAGTTAGTTCACATGACAAAATAATGTTTTAAAATCTAAAGTAGAATTTGAATTAATTAGTATGCAATTATGTAAATTGTAGCCTTTACTAGTCAAGTTCCTTCCTTCTTTCTTTATTTACTTCTTTAAGGTGTAAACTGTTTGACTGGGCAAGACTTGCCACTTCTATTCTCTTGCCTTTAACACGGTGTGATTTGTTTTGGCCCGGTCTGTACTCTACTCTGTTGGCCATTTTAGTTAGCTTCTGCTGCTATTTGTATCTGTATTTCTATTTTATGTTTTCCTGTCTGCTGTGCATATTTGTGTTCTTTTGTACAGCACTTTGGTTGGCCTTGTTGCTGTTTTAAGTGCTATATAAATAAATTGGTATGGTATGGTATGGTAAATAAGGGATGTGCCTAGACCCCTGCCAGACCCACTGATCGCCACGTCCTTGTAGTACAGATGTTTGTCATGGGTACACATGTTTGTTGTAAAGACTGAGGGACAGATACGGCTTGTATTAGAACTTTATAAATCACTAACTGGGCACTATAAGTTGTCATCAAACTGAAAAGCTTTATTACAAGATTACATTTTAGAGATTATATTAATTTTCTGAAGTAGTTTTTTCTTTGTATGGTATGTATTAGCTTGTAATAGTTCTGTCTTTGACATCCCGTGCTCTGGTGTTGTCCACATTCTGAACATCCAGTGTTCTGATAGGACCATCACTGGCTTCAATACAGACATCAAAGCTGTGACCTTGAACTGCAACCACCAAAGGAACAGGACATCAATCATGATCAGACGGTGGCACCCATTTGCTCCCCAAACCAGAGTGCAGCAGCACGTCTAACATGGAGGGAGCTCCAGAAAAATAGACTCTCCATCCATCTTCAAAGGTGGGCTGAAGAAAACAGAGAACAAAGAGGAAAAACTTACCCTGCCGATTTCTACCAGCTTGGTGAGCATGACGATACTGAAGCAATTTTCCTGCCAAACCATTCGCCAAAAATCGTAGATCATCTCTTGATTGGGCCCTGCACAGGAGGAATAGTACAATATAGAATATAAGCACATGTGGAGGTGTGGGAGAGAAAAAAGCAGGGAGGTGAAGTGGAGGATGAAGAAGGAGGAGATATGAGACATAAGTCAGATAAAATAGCAGCAATAACCATCAGTATAGAGGCACTGTGTAATCTATGCCTGGCAGTAGAGTAACAATGTGTCAGTCGTGAGCTATAGCCTGCTCACCATTCTCCTCAGACTGTGAAGAAATGTCATTTCAAAACAGCCACAAATTCTCAGCCATTGTATAAACAAGCTCCTGGACTGCACCTCTCAGGTGCCAGTGACTCACACAAATCATGCCCTCCCCAGAGAAGATGACACATTCATCGATTTCATTACACTATGGTATTGATAATATCGCAGGAATCTCCTTCATGCTTCATACTTATCAGGCAGGAGTTCCTACATGTTTTACTGCTGTTTGAACATTTTATGGCTGGAGGTTGAGTATTGAAGACGTCTAATCTTTTAGTGTCAGCTTGTCAGTAAAAACACACTGTTTCATTCGGTAACACTTTTCTTCAATATCATCAACACATTTATGTTTTTTTTCCACAAAACACCAATATGTGTAATAACCCACTGGAAAAAGAGGTTACCACATGAATGTGCCATTTCATCACATCTGACTATAATGTACTAACACTTCAAACATTTAAGGCCTAGCATGCCTTAAAGTAATGCACATCTCCCAGTGCCTTTTAGTTTTAAACCAAGATTATTTTATGTTGAAAAATACCAGCGTTATTTTGCAATATCTTGTGTAATCTGATATAGTCTAGCATCTGGATTATGTGTTGTGGATGAAGCTCAGCTACTACCATATCAAATGTCTGAGCATCTTCATTTTTGTGTTAGTTAAGGTGGATTACCTGTGGTGACAATTCTGAATAAGAATGACTAGAAAAGTCCACCTTGTACAGTACACCTGTTGATTTATTGCTGAATTGTTTTGTTAAACCATTAACTGTCTAGTGGTTCATGATATTGTTTGCTAACTGGGTTAGATTTAATCAAATAATGGCAAAGCTTAAAGAAAAGATGATGTGCAATCTGTTAACACCAAAATATGTTTTGAGAATGTCTCAGTTGAGCTACCACACCACCCAGAGGAGGCCATGCCTAGTCTGTATGGTTTACCCAAAAGTCACAAACAAGGTGTACCTTTAATACCAATGATTAACTCTGTAACGTTTCCAAATATCTGGCGTCTGTACTCATCCCTTTAGTTGGCAGCTCAGAACACCACATACAGAACACCATGGACTTTGTGGATAAGGTGAGGGATGTCATCATGGAGACGGATGAAACAATGGTCTCTTTTGATGTCACATCACTCTTTACGTGCATTCCTGTTGATGATGCAGTAGAGGTGGTCAGTTTAAGATTAAAATCAGACACCACTCTGAGCAGCAGGACCACGCTTTCCACAGAACAACTGTGTCAACTCTTGAGACTGTGCCTGCAGTCAACTTACTTCATATATGGGGAGCAATATGATAGGCAGAAACATGGGTGTGCTATGGGGTCTCTAGTTAGGCCCGAGCAGCCAAACGCTGCGAAGGCCTATTGTAATCGCTCTGTTCAGGCCCGAGTTGCAATTTTTTCCGGCAAATGAATTGGCGTTTTGGGGGCCTTAACATATCCCAAAAGTCACCAAATTTGGCGGACACATCAGAACTGGTGAAAAGTTACGTATTTTAAGGACGTGGCAAAAATCGCAACAGAAACGGCTCAAGAGCGCCACCTAGAAATTTTCAAAATACCCTCCGCATTAACCTTAGTTTGTCGTAGAAAAATGAAATTTGGTATGCTTGTCCAATTCCCCAAGATGCACAGAAAACCTTCTGGCACCAACATTGTATGATAAACAGGAAGGCGGCCATTTTGGAATGTCGGCCCAATTTTCACACCTTTTTGGCGGTTTACAGCCTCCGCATTTGAACGAACTCCTAGGGATTTCGCTCAATCGGTTTCAAACTTGGCCATTTTGGTCCAAAGGCATGAGTGATGCAAAATTATCTACATGGTTCGTTTCGGAGCATGCTGAAGCAGTGGGCCCACACCTCAAAGTTTGACATCTCTCCATGAAAAATGAAATGCTAATAGCTCCTACAAGAAAACTGTCTGAGACATCAAACATTAAGTGATTGATCCACATCCGGTCCCCTGCAAGACTGAATGGTCAAATCATGACATCACTTAAACCATGCCCCTTGACAACAGGAAGTATAAAGTTTTCCGTTGAACAATCCCTATCTGACCCCTGTTACCTGATCAACATGATAGTGTGTCCAGTGACCGAAGACATGTTGGTGTAACTTGCTTTCCAACACTGACAGTTTTGGGTGGAGCATGTGGGTGGCGCGGCGTGGCGAAGTAAGACGTAACGCTGTCGCCATACGTTTGGCTCTAAATTCCACAGTTTTGAACCGAGGTGCACAAAAATCAGTATGATTGATCATTATCCACCCCTTCAACAGGAAGCCATGATAAGTGGCCAATAGCCTCCACAGCGCCCCCTAGAATATTTTAAAACCTCAGCCCCAAGCCATTTTTGGACCGATAATTCTGAAACTTGGTGAACATCTTTATCTTCTCATGACCTATGAAAAAGTCTCTTGGAGCCCTGGTCCAAAACCAACAAGAAGTCGGCCATTTTGGGTCAAAGGGTCATTTTTGGGCGTTTCTAATTGCAAATTTTAACGAACTCATCCTAGGAATTTTGAAGGATTGCCTTCAAACTTGGTTGATATGCCCTTAAGACATTGGAAAGTATAAGTTATCTAAAGCTTGTGTTTTTATATATGTTAAAGGGGCGTGGCCAGGCCTCAAAGTTTTGCTTCACACCATAAATTTCCAAACACTAACTTTCACATTGAAAAACCGAAATGCACAAAACTTGGCATGACTCATCCCTTTTGGATGCCCGACGATCCACTGTGGTCATATATTGACATCATCAAAGCCCCGCCCCCTCAGAACAGGAAGTTTCTTTTTAAACTTGGAATGCTCCCTCTTTGTCACCATTGACCCAATCAGGATAATCCTGTGTTACAAGACAGATAATATGGTCTGACTTGATTTAAAACACAAACCATTTTTGCTTAAGGATGTGGGCGTGGCAACGTGGCGAATTAAGAAGTGATGCCGTTGTAATACATTTGTATCTAAATTGCACAGATTTCAGCCGAGGTGCTCCAAAATCACTATGATTGATCATTATCCGCCCCTTGAACAGGTATCCATGATAAGTGGCCAATAACCTCCACAGCGCCACTTACATTATTGTTACAGTTATAGCTCAGTGACATATCATCTGATCTGAACCAGATTTATTGTGTCATCAGTGAGGACTTATAGACACACTTGTATTGTTCTTTAACATTTGACTCAAGTGCACCCCCTAGATTATTCCAACAGTTATATCTCAGTGATACATCATCCGATCAGAACCAGATATTTTATGTATAATCATTGAGCACGTGTAGACACATTGATATTGTGGTTTAACACATGACTCAAGTGCGCCCCTAGATTATTCCAAAAGTTATATCTCAGTTATATATCATCTGATCTGAACCAGATTTTGGGTGCGTCATTGGTGAACACTTATAGACACACTGGTATTGTTCTTTAACATTTGACTCAAGTGCGCCCCTACATTATTCCAACAGTTATATCTCAGTGATACATCATCCAATCTGAACCTGAGTTTTTGTGCTTCATCAGTGAGCACTTGTAGACACATTGGTATTGTTGATTCATGACATCACTTAAGCCCCACCTACTCAGAGAAGAACTGTCAATTATTGCATGACATTTCCAGGTTTGCACTGTGTAAGATATTAGACTGCAACTTTGTTCACTAACTGTTTATTACCACACATGACAAGTTGAAAAGCATAAAGGAAGTGCTTGCCAAACATTCACCACAAAACAGGAAGTCACCATAACTCCTGTCTGGAAGGTCAGATTTCGCCTATACTTGTAAGACCTGCAGCTGGACAAGTAACGACAGGGACGGAAGGCGATGTCGAAGATTTGAGAAATGCGCACCGTGGTGAAAGCGTGCGGGATTGCCACGAGAGCGTTCGCAATGGCGACTGGGTGGACTAGCTGAAGCTCCCGCGTTCGCTGTAAGGCCGGAGCGGCGCTTTGCTGCGAGGGCCTCCAATGCTGCTTGCCGCTTTAATTTATCATGTTGTTGCCAACCTGTATATGGAGGAGGTAGAAAAGAGAGCCTTGACGTCCTTTTCAGGGACACCACCAAGTCATTGGTTCAGGTGTGTGTTGATGACACCTGGGTTAAAATTAAATCTCAGGAAGTCCAACATTTCACTGATCACAGCAATTCTGTGGATAAATACATCAAGTTCACACGAGAAAATGTAAAAAATGGCAGGTTGGCTTTCTTGGACTGTGAGGTCTCAGTTTCTGATGGAGGACATTTGCAAACTGAGGTGTACCGCAAACCCACCCACACAGACCAGTATTTGCAGTTTGACTCCCATCACCCTTTGGAGCACAAGTTAGGAGTCATCAGGACTCTGTACCACAGAGCAGACAGCGTCCCCACTAACTCAGGAGCC